TAGTGCAGTATACGCCAGAGCTGCAGGTCGCACGAGTTCTTTACTGCAATCGAACCACCGCAGTACCAATTTTCAATCCAACCACCCGCGATTACCGTGCGAGCGTGCGAGCACTGCGATCGTGCGAGTTTTTTCTCTCACTAGCGCCCTCTCAGCATGCGTGAGTGGTGGCACCTACAAGCTTCCGTAGCCGCGCGACTCTCTTCAGCAAGGAGAGCCACGCCGCTGCTGCTGCCCTTCTCGTTCCTTCTTCTCAGTTCGGAAGCCGAACAGTACGGACGTGTCGCACGCGAGCCAGCCACACACATAAAGTTATACGTGCCCCTCGCCAACGTGGCCTTTTTCTTGATTTTAGAGCAGTTAGGGAGTATTTTTAATGAATAAACATTCATACTTAAACCAAAGAAGCAGCTTGTGATCATTGAGGTGACCTCTCGCATCTTCCTTTTCCTTATCTCACCTGCCTGGACCCAGCGTGCTCAGCCCTAGCTACCACGACTGATCATTCATCATCAAAAGTGCATCGGCGCGCACAATAATGAAAAAGTTTTCAGATCGATATATCCTTAAGCGACGTTGTACTCGACCGAAACATGAAATACGCTGTTTTCGGTAGAATGACCCATATACAGTAACTGTTACAATTGTTTCTAAGTCATGTTTGCCGTAGTATGCGATAAAATTTCTCTATTGGCATAAGTCCCAAAATGATTGTAGTTCAACCATCAGAGTTACTATATGTGTTAATTAGTATTTAAATTTCGTGTACCGTGCATACCTCATTGCATTTGTAACCATGTGACCTCGTTGCTCTCCAAGTTTTCCAATATAAGACGAGAATACTCAGCCAGGTAGTAAAAAATATCGGTAGAAGAATCACATCTATGTAATAACTGCACAATCAATTGATGTAGTAAAATAAATTTCAAGTTTTCCCTTGTCACATACCTTGGAATAAAGTTTATAGAAATACATTCTTGCGTTGACTGATATTCGTTCCAGTAAAAGGGTATAGTTGATATGATTAAAGCTGCGCACCAATTGATGCCTATCATAGCATTTGTTTTTTTCCTTGTTAAGTATTTCGGGTACTTGAGTGGGTAAGCTATCGCGACGTACCGATTTATAGCTACTGCCAATATGTTGAAGAAACTTGTCATACAGGCGCCACAAACAATTACATACCTATTAAAATAATATTAATGAATATATCAGTAGAGTACTGCAGGGATAAAAAAACTTTTGGGTTCTCGTCTTAAATATAAAAAAATACATATTATCATATACCGAGTGTGGAAAGACGATAGCCTTTGCACTACCGAAAACATTGTCATTCTCACGAGTGGGCAAGTTACCGCTCCCACAAGTATACTAATAAATTGGTTTGTGAGAAAATATATATTTGTCGTGCTTGGAAATGGTATATTTGGTGCTTTAATTTTTTTCACTCAATAGAAGTTAAAGTAAAAGTTTTAACTTACCTGAGTAAACACAAAAATTTGTAGTAGTTGAGAGACTGTTCAATAAGAAAGATCAGATCGTAGAATAACGCAAAACCTACGAAAAAATCTGAAATAGCGAGGCTAAGTATCAATTGATTGGAAGTGACACTGAGCAGTTTGTGACTCAACCTTCCAGCTATAATCGTCAATCCATTGCCAAATATTATTGTAACTACCAGAAGTATGATGCAAACTAATTCATACATGGTGATTTACGGGAAAACGATAAATTTGTATCAAATTTGTTATCATCAGGTGATCGAGTATTTACTTTTCAAAAAACTGAAACTTAATAAATTGTAACTAAAAGTGTAACTATAAGATAATAACAATAAAATGAGGATAACTTTCGAGTACTGAAGAGTTGCCAAAATCTGTAAATTTAATAAGATGTAAGCTATTCAAAAGCAGATGCGAGATTAACTGTCAATAGCATTCATTTAGTTGCGATGAGTCTTGAACTAATTTGAGAAACGTACTACTCATTAACTATATAGATAAAGTCGTGTATGTTACTAATTGTTCGAAAATTTCTTGTGTACAGAAAATCCAGTTGAACCTTTATGATTCATTACAATGATTTAAATGATTATTCCATAAATTCGTCCAGTTTTAAAAGCAGAATAAACTCCGAATATATGGTTTATGTGGGTAAAATCTATGCTTACCGGATTCATTAATTTTCCAATATTTTACTGGTAGGTAGATTAAAATAATATAAAATTTCTCTTACCTCTTCTATAACTTTGGTTAGACATGTACGTAGCACTGTGTTTTTAATTTTTTGAGTTACATATTACGTTGAATTCCACATGTGCAAAAAAAACTTTATAAACATATTTTTTTTAAAGTTGTGGGAAGATGAGTAACGTTAAAAAAGGCAATCTACTGTTAAATATAATTTATTCAGATCATGAAAACGTTTTTTAAAAATAATTTTTAAGTTCCAACCGCTGGACTTATTCGAAAGGAGTTATAGATATACTAAGAAAAAAAATTATTTGTATTAGCATACAATAGACGAAACCTTTTCAAACAGTGAATTCTGTTCCAGATCAGTCTGCTGATCAGGTTGACTCTCAGTGTTCTTGTGGGGGGCAATTGTTATCAAAATATTAGTATCGAGTTGATTGAAGCTAATGTTCTGTGACTCGTCATCCATCGTAATATCGGAGGCAATATCAACAAAGCCACTGCCATAAAACAGTACCGTTGGCTCAGTCATACCACAGTTCTGCGTCTAATGTAAATTAGGTAAATATGTAAAATAAATGCTTGCTTCTATTATACTTATCATCATAATTTGTAAGTACAACAAATGTATGGAAGTGCATTATAATTTTGTCAGAGCAAAAAGCATAACCTCTCATAAATCGTCTATTCTCAATATAAAAAATCTTTGATCCTAGTATAAGGGTGATCTGAATTCGTCACATAATGTACGTATCTGAGTAACCCAATTACAATATAGCGTAAATAACAACATTCCCGAGTGGAAATATTCATCTGCATCAAACTGATTGAAATTGCGCCAAATTAAGCCTAATTAAGCCTAATTGAGCCAAACTGAGCCAAACTGAGTCAAACTGATCCAAACTGAGCTATACTACTGCCGATTCGAACAATTGGCTTAGTATGGCTCAGTTTGGCTCAATTTGGCTCAGTGTGGCTCAATTTGGCTCAGTTCGGCTCAGTTCGGCTCAGTTTGGCACATTTTGGCTCAGTTTTGCTCAGTATGGCTTACTTTGGATATGTAGTATAAAATGAATATTAATTACTATAGTGCTCTTATTATCTTATTTTTGTAGTTAAATGTTTCAAGAATAAAAGCAGTAATTCGTTATAAACGTACATTTTATTCTTTGTAGATCGAAGCACATTAGACAGTGCATGAATGTGTCTAATTACAGTAACGCTCCAACGCACCTCGTGAAATTGTTACAATAAAATATTCATCCTTTGCTACACTTAGTATACATGGTCTATATAAATCTGAACAATTTATAATTGATACAAATGGTTTCCGCTGTGTATCGACACACTTTATATAATCCATAGACGTTTGCTTAACTGTATATGCATGACTTATAGTAATATTGATGAAAAAAATTATAATTCTGGTTACATTGGATATTGTACATTTGTATATACTTTTTATAAGTCCATATTTGCCGTCCACAGTAACTGCTACACAATCTTTGCGCTTTTTGTTTCTCAAATACGATTGAGTCGTATAACGTAAATCATTGCATATTATTTTCGTGTATTTATAACAGCTTTCAATTTTATTTATATCAATAATATCTTTAGCAATCTTACATTCCGAATCATTAAAAAACTTTTTTTTCCCCTTACCAATTAGTATACATTTATCGACTATACTGAAATATTTCAAGTTTTTTCTTTCTTTGCTTAAAAAATTTTTAACTGAATCATGCACAAGGCCAGAATGTTCTAGGTATGGCAATTGCTGATAAACTTGTAACCTGTTCACAATTTTTTCTATAATTTTGAAATTACAGTGCTTCAATAAAAGTAAATTTTTATTTTCTGTTTCGAAAGCAAAAGTATTAATTGAATGTACTGGTCCCCAATTTTTAACTGTTTTGCATAAATGTAATAATAAGTGAACGTTATAATGAGCGTAGTTTCTACCGTATAAGTTTTCAAATTCAACACAAAAAATAATAAGCAGTTTTTGAGCTGTTTCGATCATTTCAGAACTTACAGAATCTTGTAATAATATTTCCATTGCTGTTGAGAACATAACTAAATTGCTATAATACTTTTTTTTAAATATTTTTCGTAAGCATAATGGAGCATAAAAGATTATCCAAGCAAACCATTCCGAGGCCTTCCACATGTTTTTTTCCTTCACACTTCGAGCAATTTTTGCTACACAAGATGGACTCTTCATACTTAATAGTCTTTTGTCAATAATTGCTATTTTATCAGGTGATCCTACGTAATAACTTTCCGTTGCATTGGAAAAAATTATATTAGTGTATAATTGTGCTACACCTAACAGACAGCAGTGCAAGTAATCTAAAATCATCCCATTTACTAAGTCGAAATATCGTAAATTCATGAGACTCGACGGACCCTTTACGCCTTTAATATCTTTTGCATTGCTCTCATAAGCCATAACCATTTGATTCTTGATTGATGAATCACTTCTTTCTGGAGGGGGAGAATGTTGAATGGGATACTTCCGAACTCCATTGACAGCTTCGGTAGGATGTTCGCAATACGTGCAGCCATACAATCCATTAAACTGTTTCATGTTAAGCATACCACATCTTGCAACTGAATCGACGCATACACTAAAAAATGAGAACAAATATACCTTTAACAGTACAAGAAAAACTTTGCCTCACTGGGAGACAGTTGGGTGGGCTGTCTGCTTAATTTTACTATGAACAGCGCCCCCAACTGCTGGTGCTCTCACTCGCCCGAGTTGGGTGCAATGTTCACCCAGTGGGAGAGCCGCAGCACCAAGATATTGGTGGAGCAGTCCACCCAAAAATGTTGGTGTCAGTCGTCAAATAATATTACTTTTTTCCGAATGTTGCTCTACATGATCTCGTGTCTTCAAACACTATAAGATATGGACTTTATTTACTTTTGTCGCTTTCTCCTAAATTACAACTGACTTATACGTTTGTTTACTTCAGTCAGCTGTTTGCTGTTGTTTTGGGTTGCGGAACGCAGCACCAGTAACAGTGTTGCCATTTAACAACTGGTCAGACCTTACGGAATATACCCCAAATCTTGAAGTCTTATATATAGGGCCATCAGATAGTCAAATCCTTTGAACTGACGTACTAAGCCGATCAGACCTATGTCCATCGGACGTGTGATCATTCGAACAGACTTATCACANAAAAAAAAAAAAAAAAAAAAAAAAAAAAAAAAAAAAAAAAAAAAAAAAAGAATAAACTGAAAGACACAACAACAGCAAATAACACGCTGAAATGAATGTTGTTAACTGATTAGAAGAACGAGATCACTAACTTTAGCAGCTGATCTTACTATTAAAAACATTGCTGCGTAGAACCTATAATAACTATAAGAAAATATTCAACTTCTCGTCACAAAAGAAAATAAGTAATCGTGACAAAAGCGGGGTACGCAAGAAACTAGCAAACAGAAAATTAAATGTACTTTAAATATTAAGTAGAACATAATTCACTTACCTACTTCCATTAAACATCAGCTTTGGTCTTGAAATCTTTACAATGTCTATATTTATCTGCAAGTCCATATTCTGCTTTAGAAATTTTTTGATGTTAGAAGAGCCCTAAAAAAATTATATTAAGTAATATTTTTCGCTTTTAGCGATTAACAAAGTACAGAATACGTCAATCCTAAAAATCAATAAAACGTACACTTCCTGTTCACTCATCTACATTGCAAGAAGGTTCAGAAAGACTTAACTGGAGTGTATCAAACACTCATCGACAACCGCTTACAGATCTGCATAATAACGGTGCGCCTGGGAATGGGACTATCAGAAAAGGACATGCAGTCTTAAGGGAACGTAATGAAAAGGTTGATATATGTATTTGTGACAGATACACTTAATAATAAACACATTTTGAGTGCAAAATATTTTGTGCGACAAGAAAGTTTTTTAAATATTGAACCCATGTGTATTTAAAATGTACAAGTGCTTGTTTATTATTGAAGTGCAAAATTTTTCAGGAGCTTGAAGCTTCGTGCAGAGCATACAAAATGCAAGCTGAATATTTTGAAAATCAATCAAAAAAGGCAGAATTGGAAGTCGAGTATTGGAAAAAGCTTGCTTAACAAAAACAGCAGGAAAAATCTACTTACAATCCGACTGGTAAGAGCTTGATTTATATTAAAGCAGACAATTGTAATTATAATATACTTTTTATTTATTTATAATTTTTTGGTACGTTGTAAATCTTTTAGGGGAACAGTTGCGGATCTACAATAATGTTTTTGAGTCACCTGAGCAAGAAGATTCAAGTACAATTGATTTGAACTTGCGAACGATAAGAAAAAGCGTTAAGTGCAACTCTTTGGCTTATAAAGATGCGTATAAAACTAAGAATTGTCAAACTTTTTTTACACTAATGGATATAGGTATTTTTGGAGTAGACGATCTCGCAAGCCGCTCCGTGAAGTCTCGACGTGGCACGAGCAACAATCCATTATCACCCATAAAGAAAGAAGCCATAGAAGATGAATTTGTGCAATATTTAAAGTCAAGAGGGTTTACCCCACAACTTATTTCAGACGAATTAAATAAGTGCAATGGGTATCATCATGGTGCAATTTGCACAGCTAGAAAAAAACTCATCCGAGGCCAACGAAACNGTTCCACGTTTTGCTGCTCACTCCCTTAAAGCTCACTAGGCCAGACGTAAATAAAACAAAAATAATACATCTTAAACAAAGAAAATAAGGTATAAAAAAAACGTCACCCTTCTTTGTTAAGTATAATTTTACTGTAAATCTAAGTGCATAGTTTTACGCACTTAGATTACAACACCTTTGACACACTTTTATCTGCATAACTTTACCTGTTTTTAGTATAAAATTCGTCATTACACGCTATAAGATTATTTACGTCATTACATCATTAAAACCTACATTATTATTTTACAGATGAAAAAAAAAATATTATTTTTCTTAAGGGAGACTAACTGTCAAGTAAATTGTATTACGAGATCAGGGTAATTGAAAGACATTTATACTATTTTCAATATNTTGTTTCAAATGAGAATTCGCTTAACACTATTTTAGACGCTGTCTCGAGTTATCTTACAAATTCGTCATATCCTGAATTACCTGAATTTACCTTTAGTGCCGGTCATCCGTTCCTCACGGGTCAAAACAACCATTTAAGTGAACATCAATTTAAAAATATTATATACTCTTGAAACGACATGTTTTTACTTTATAAAAAACATTTAACTATTAAACCTTAAGCTCGGAAAATTTCAGCGTCTCAGGTTGTGAAACAAAGCATTAGGTATTTTTCTTAAGAAAAAATTATCTTGGATTTATTGGCTGTAGAGGACCTTTGTAATACAAAAATTAGTAAAAATCGTACCTCTTTCATAGAAAGACTCTCAAAACGATTGCATTCAAATTTGCTTTGTTACTTTATTTTGCAAGTGTGCTTTTTTTTGACACTCGTTTTGCCAAGTCTCCTTAAAAAAAAAATTATTTGTATTAGCATACAATAGACGAAACCTTTTCAAACAGTGAATTCTGTTCCAGATCAGTCTGCTGATCAGGTGGACTCTCAGTGTTCTTGTGTGGGGCAATTGTTATCAAAATATTAGTATCGAGTTGATTGAAGCTAATGTTCTGTGACTCGTCATCCATCGTAATATCGGAGGCAATATCAACAAAGCCACTGCCATAAAACAGTACCGTTGGCTCAGTCATACCACAGTTCTGCGTCTAATGTAAATTAGGTAAATATGTAAAATAAATGNACGCAAAACCTACGAAAAAATCTGAAATAGCGAGGCTAAGTATCAATTGATTGGAAGTGACACTGAGCAGTTTGTGACTCAACCTTCCAGCTATAATCGTCAATCCATTGCCAAATATTATTGTAACTACCAGAAGTATGATGCAAACTAATTCATACATGGTGATTTACGGGAAAACGATAAATTTGTATCAAATTTGTTATCATCAGGTGATCGAGTATTTACTTTTCAAAAAACTAAAACTTAATAAGTTGTAACTAAAAGTGTAACTATAAAATAATAACAATAAAATAAGGATGACTTTCGAGTACTGAAGAGTTGCCAAAATCTGTAAATTTAATAAGATGTAAGCTATTCAAAAGCAGATGCGAGACTAACTGTCAATAGCATTCATTTAGTTGCGATGAGTCTTGAACTAATTTGAGAAACGTACTACTCATTAACTATATAGATAAAGTCGTGTATGTTACTCATTGTTTGAAAATTTCTTGTGTACAGAAAATCCAGTTGAACCTTTATGATTCATTACAATGATTTAAATGATTATTCCATAAATTCGTCCAGTTTTAAAAGCAGAATAAACTCCGAATATATGGTTTATGTGGGTAAAATCTATGCTTACCGGATTCATTAATTTTCCAATATTTTACTGGTAGGTAGATTAAAATAATATAAAATTTCTCTTACCTCTTCTATAACTTTGGTTAGACATGTACGTAGCACTGTGTTTTTAATTTTTTGAGTTACATATTACGTTGAATTCCACATGTGCAAAAAAAACTTTATAAACATATTTTTTTTAAAGTTGTGGGAAGATGAGTAACGTTAAAAAATGCAATCTACTGTTAAATATAATTTATTAAGATCATGAAAACGTTTTTTAAAAATAATTTTTAAGTTCCAACCGCTGGACTTATTCGAAAGGAGTTATAGATATACTAAGAAAAAAAATTATTTGTATTAGCATACAATAGACGAAACCTTTTCAAACAGTGAATTCTGTTCCAGATCAGTCTGCTGATCAGGTTGACTCTCAGTGTTCTTGTGGGGGGCAATTGTTATCAAAATATTAGTATCGAGTTGATTGAAGCTAATGTTCTGTGACTCGTCATCCATCGTAATATCGGAGGCAATATCAACAAAGCCACTGCCATAAAACAGTACCGTTGGCTCAGTCATACCACAGTTCTGCGTCTAATGTAAATTAGGTAAATATGTAAAATAAATGTTTTGCTTCTATTATACTTATCATCATAATTTGTAAGTACAACAAATGTATGAAAGTGCATTATAATTTTGTCAGAGCAAAAAGCATAACCTCTCATAAATCGTCTATTCTCAATATAAAAAATCTTTGATCCTAGTATAAGGGTGATCTGAATTCGTCACATAATATACGTATCTGAGTAAACCAATTACAATATAGCGTAAATAACAATATTGAGAGGTTTAAAAAATTTTCACCTGTCACATTCTATTGTAAATGTTTCAAAAAGCAGACTTTTGACGTTTGTAAATGTAATTTTTTTTCTTCGGGTCTTGTATTTTTTGACACTGATGAGACAAACTTTTTTTAAGCGCACAAAACTTGTAATTTTTGCCATCGAAAAATTTTCCAAACCTCTCAATTTTTACCTATTTCATTTTACTGTAAATGTCTCAAAACGCATTTTTTGGATGCTGGCAAAAAAAAATGTTTCCGTCGGGACTTGTATTCTGTCATACTGTTGGGACTTAAACTTTTTTCAGCGCACGGAACTTGTAATTTTACCGATAATATTTCAAACCTCTCAATTTTCACCTCTCTATTATTATACTTTAAAGTAATTAGATTAAATGTCCCAGAACGCATAGTTTTGATAATAACAAAAAAAAACTTTTCCGTCTGCACTTGTATTTTTTCGCACTGATGAGACTTAATTTTCTTCCAGCTCACGGAACTTGTAGTTTGTGCTATCAAAAATTTTCCCAATCTCCTAATTGTCATCTACTTATCTCATTCTACTGTAAATGTCCCAAAACGCAGATTTTTAATGTTCGTAAATGTCATTTTTTTGCTTTAGGACTTGTATTTTTTCGCACTGACGGGGGAATTCGTAATTTGGGCTATCAAAAATTTTTTTAAACTCTCAGTTGTCACCTATTTCATTCTACTGTAAACGTCCCAGACTGCATAGTTTTGATGATGACCAAAAAAAAATTTTTTCCCTTGGGACATGTATTTTTTTTCGCACAGTCAAGAAATCAGCTGACGATTTGGCATCAGAAATGAGCTGATTTATCAGCTGATTTTTCTAGCAGTGATAATATTATTATAAATAATCTGATTTAAATAATCTTTTTTTCGTCTCAAAAATTCGAGAACTTGCAGCGACTGACCAGGGGTGCTACCAAGGAAGAAAAAATCTTTAAATTGGTGGTTAACACTTTTTTTGGGGTCAGAGGCAATAAGAGATAACGAAAAAGAACTTTTTAATATTTACTAACACGTACACATTAATCTTTGTTCACATATGTCCTTGTTCTGCATTGTAAACACTTGCATTNAAAAAGAATAAACTGAAAGACACAACAACAGCAAATAACACGCTGAAATGAATGTTGTTAACTGATTAGAAGAACGAGATCACTAACTTTAGCAGCTGATCTTACTATTAAAAACATTGCTGCGTAGAACCTATAAAAAGAATAAACTGAAAGACACAACAACAGCAAATAACACGCTGAAATAAATGTTGTTAACTGATAAGAAGAACGAGATCACTAACTTTAGCAGCTGATCTTACTA